CATAGTAGTGAGGTGGTAATCGGGTTGATGGTAAAGGTTGGGATAAAAACATAGCTGTCTCTTGATCACACCACACCTCCATTGCTTTTAACATATCCTGAATAAGTGTAATATGACCAAAATTAGTCTGAGCATGGTTTTAACTTTTATAGCACAAGTTGTGCTGTATTTAACAATTAGTCTTTGCAGTGATATTTTTCCGCTGTATTACCCGAAACTGTTTTCGACTGTGCCCAAACTCTCCAACGTCAGAACCAGTAAAAGCATGGGATGCGACCATCGTCTCAAAGTGAAGTGCAGCTGATTTGGTCTTAACAACAGTCAAGGCAATGCCGATTAAATTTTCCATGACAGCAACCCCACGTTTCTTCCTTCTCTTATATTCATGGTCATACTGCAGTAAGGGTTAAACTTTGTTTTAGATACTGAATAAGTAATCAGCTAACATGACTATTACCTGACTTCAATAGCACAATTTAAAAAAAGCTATATCAAGAGAGATGAACAATTTCATAACTTTAACTTTCAAGTGATTATTATATTCTCATATATTCACAGCACCTTTTACTGTACTGTTTCATAAACATAATCTAACCTGCAATGCTTCAAAGTGAAGTTGTCCCCCAGCCAATGTTACATGATTCTTGACAGTGTTTTTGAGCTTGTAAAATTCTCTATTTCCACCTTCCAAAAGCAATTGTGATTTCTCCGAATTAAACACCAAACCCGTAGGAAGTGATCCAGAATAACTATGAAAAAAATAAATGAGGAAGTGTTAAGGAAATAGAGCTTACAATCTGCTTCATGGTATATAACTATATTATATAATACATTTTAACAGTTCTCCAAATTTAATAGTTTCAATCTATTCTTCAATCCTCGGAGGTATTAACACAATAATCCTGGAATATAAATTTTAGAATACACATATTACAACAGTGGTAATATAAGACCATATTTGCAATATACTGTAAATTGGAAATTCCTCTTATTTCTACTGATGATCCAGGAAGATTGGCTGAATACTGTGCACATAAAAATATTCTGATATAAACAATGGCTTTGACAATCACCCTCCAAGTCCCTTTCGTGCAACTGCAGTTGGATCCAATGATGTTGCATTTCCTTTTTTACTTTGGATAAATTGAAAACAGGTTTCACAACGGGGCACTGACAAGACTCCCTTTTCTGCATCTCCAGAGAAGAACCTCATATGTTTACATACTTCTACGAGATCCAGAATATTTTTTACTTCAGGCCAATGGACCAAGATATTGGTTATTTCTTCAGCTGATGTGCTATTTATGGACGAGAGTGGTGTACATTGACTTTCCTTTCCTTGTGACACTGACTTAAAGGAGACTTTGAAGTCCTTAAACTCACTTATCAATGTATCAATCTTTGAATGTAATGAAGCATCATTTGATTGACTAGCATCTTCATTGATAATTGTCCTGGAATGTCTTGTTAATGTTGCCTGCATCAGTGTCTTGGTTGACCCAGCATTATCACCTTTGTGCGGTATTGGTGGAGCATTGAACGGAACATCAGGAAGGATTCTTGTCTGGAGGCGAGGCGCTGATGCTACAGTGGAACTTTGTTGTGTAACTCTGTTCTTGCAATTCTTCTAGACACTTTCGTGCCTTCTTCACACTCTCATCCATATCGTAGAAAGGTTTAATAATAACATCAGAAGATTTTGATTTAGAATGATGCCGTTGAATGTGCCTTTTGGTTGTGGTTTGGTTTTGGCGACAAAGTTTAAACGTTTTTGAATGTTTTCCAGCCCTGCAAAAAGCATGAGTAATTTGAACTTATGGCATCTGTTTTAGTTGGCTGCATTAGATACCATTTCGGTGTATGACCTCTTTCATTATATTCCCTCTACCTTTGTGTTATTGCAGCTAACTCAAAACAAGCATGTTTTGTTATTATGTCAAAACACCAAATTAATTTGAGTAAAAATAAATTTTGTTAGAATGGAATACTTACTTAAAGCATGTAACACATATTGCCCATTGCTTCTTTTCATCTTTTTCAACTTTAGCAGGCTGAGGTTTCATTATTTTTGGCTTCAACCACCAGGGATCTTCTCCTACACATGAATTTTAATAATTTTATGCACATAATTAGAAACACCATATATAGTGCAACCTTGATTTAGCTAATTGGAAATAAAAGTCAGTTGAAAGGTTTATACATTCATAAATGATATTGCATATTGCACTAGAATACAAATATGTTTTAACATACCTGTTGTAGCTTTACGTTTCACACCAACAGTAGTTTTCAAACTGCTTGCTACTGGTACGTCCAATTCATGAGTCACTAAAATGATATAATTTTAAATTGCAATACATACCATAGATGCATATTATGAAATTAAAAGTGTGCAACAATGTTTTTGGAGTGATCAGTGTCAATGAGTACCGTCTTCACTACCACAGATATTGCAAATGACAGGACTTCCATATCCATCTTCCTGACCAATGGGAACCTTTCCACAAATCGCATGGACAGCCTTCTTACATTTCAGACATTTGTGTGCATTAGAATGTGGTCTGCCACAAACATGACATTTTTCTAAAAATAACCAAGTATGAATTTCAGCTGCACTGCTGCATGTAAAGTGTAAAGTGTAAACAGTAAAATTCATAAAATTCATGATTATTGATTTAATAAATCTCGTTCTGTTCTGAGTTCTGACTTCTGTTCACTGTTCAGACTTCACTTCAGTGTTCACAAAATAACAAATGTCAAATTGAACAAACATAAATTTACCTTCTTCGACTTCTAGTACTTCTTTCTCTTTGGGTCTGGGAATGTCTGTATCACTTGTGAGTGAGTAATCCGAGTCATCCTGAGAAATCATAAATATGCAAATTATTGTCTATTTATCATATATATTTTATTCATAGATTTTGAATGAGATTCTTGTCTCTGATATAAAATAATCATTCACAAGCAAGGAAAAGAGCTATAGGAACATTTTATTTACTATATATGATTGGATAACAGTTTAAAAACACTCGATGGTTAAGATTAAAAATCGAACTCACCTTTTCATCAGAAACGATATCCGCCATTCTGGCCAAAAGGTTCAAAAGCTTGTTTCCAAAGCACCATATTTACATGAAGTATCAGAGCCGCTGGACAGAAAACCAGGAGGCAGGAGCAAATATATTTTGCGAGGAGCCGAAAAAATGCAGTAAAATTGATAATACATTATTATAGTTTACTTTTTAATTCCAAAACGTTGCCATATTTGCGCGCCGCTAATGGATCATGACCGAACGCTACGCCAAGTGCCCATGCCACGAGCCCACGCCACGCCAGTAAAGTAACGCCAGAAATTTGGAAAGTGCTGCGCCAAAATTGGCGCAACACAGCCAAACACCACGCCGAATATATTCGGCGCAACCCACCAACTTTCCAGTATGGACCAGCACAAGAACGATGTTGATAAGAAAGGCATGGTAATCCTTCTGAACCTTTACCAGTTGTGTCAAGAAATATTTGTTTGAAAAATGAAACTATGAAAGTGCATTGAGAGTTAACTGAATGATGTCCGTAATATTTGTAATAATTATAGTATCTATATTAGTATCTGCTATGCCTAATTATACTGTAATATCAAAAATGCTTTGTTTTTTTAAAGTTTTCCATGATGTTTGAAATCACCATGAATTTATTTAATTGATTGGCTTTCAGGTAGAATTTAAGTTTCTCTTAAGATGACCTGGGCTAAAGGGCCAAAAGCTTTAATTAAATAAACTCCATGTTGAACAAGCACGAGTGTCATAATTATTTTTAAAATGCTATGCTTCATCAAAAGACGGTTTTTCCAATATATGTTCAACACTTATTTCGTTTTCATCTTCAACTGTGACCTGCAAGCTTTCTTCAATGACTGTAACATGTAGCTGTCCCGAAACGACAATAATTCAGCTTCTGAGTCATCTCTAATACTAATCCATTCATCTGGAAGACTCTCCATTGACTGATCAATAGAATAAGTATTTTCAGCAATGTCACCAAAAATCTTATGCAGCATACACAGTATGTTCAAAGGATGAACTTTGCACCATATTTCTACATGATTATGAATGTCATCTAATGTAAATAGGTATTGAGATTTCTTCATAACTTGGTTAATATGAAAACTATAAAATTCTGCATGCACACTTGGCAAAAGTTTTGTTCCTTCTTGAGTTAATTTGTCATGGTATTCTGTGAGAAGCATATGCAATTGCTTTCTATGCTCTGGCGAAACACTGCGTGTGGTAACCTCTTGTGCTGGCGTGGTTCTTATCGCTTCATTCATTGTTGTCCATTCACAGCATGATAATGAGCAAATACAACTCTTTGCACAGTTATCACAGCATTTACAACCTTTTACCTTTGATGAACATGATTTTCAAAATTCTTTATCAATTTTATTCTTCTGCATTCAGTTTCTTTAATATATTGTTTTATTTGATGATCTGCTCCTCTTGATAGCATTGCATTAAACAAAATCCTGCTGATACTTGAAGTACCATCACAACCATCACAATCTATGCTTGATTTGGTATGTTGCAGTTGCTGTAAACAAAGCAAATCTTATCAAGGGTCAAGAAGACTTCTCAACTGATTAAGTTCACCATACCATTTACGAAATGGAGTTTTTCCTACAGCATCTGATCCCCTGCAATATATCAAATCATAAAATAAATTGATACTCAAATTGTGTACCTTGAATCTAAAAATCATATCTTTAAAATGATGTAAAGGGCCATTTACATATAGGTGACCATTTTGAGGCAGTCTTCCTCAAAAGTCTCATATAAACATAGGATGAAATCAGATTGGCAAATTGAGCTAGCTTAGGTTCCTGGGCTGGTCATCCTACATATAAACAACCCTTAGATATGTTTCATGCTTTCTTACAGCTACTTTATTCCATGAAAAATCTTTTGCTTTATAGTATTTTCATAAGGCCCATTTACACTACACAAAATTTTTGGTACGGTTCGGGTAAAAGTGGTTCTGGTCCGGCTAAAAACGGTACGGGTTGTTCGTTTACAGTTAAATTTGCTGGCGGACCAATTTGCTCAAAATTGATGTTTAGGTACGGGTACCAAACTGAATTTATTTTGGCGCGTAATCCCGCGTTTTTCAAAATAACATGGCGGATGACATGTTTTTAATGCTTCAGTCGATTAAAAAGCGCCTTAGATTGTCCGAAAGTGATTCTCTCAGGAAGAAAACAAACTCTACGTCACTGAATTTCAGAAGAAATAACCGAAGTCTAAAAAAAAAGATGCAGCTGGTCATGGCGATACTTTTATTTCTCAACCCTCCGGTCAATCGATTAATTTGGATGTTCCCACGAAGTGATCGCTGGTTCAAGATTGCTAAAGCGAGTCTACCAGAGCGAGAATGGTATGCCAACTTTCGTGTTTCCAAGGACACATTCTACTACATCCTATCAGAAATTGTAGATGATATTACTCGTAAAGATACTAAACTGCGTAAGGCAATCTCCCCGGAGAAAAGAGTAGCAATTACGCTTTATTACATTGGCTCAACATCGGAATACAGAACAATTGCGAACTTATTTGGAGTTTCAACCGCATTTGTTTGTCTCTGTGTTAAAGATGTGTGTACAGCAATATTGACCAAACTTAAAAGCCGCTTTCTATCAATACCCAAAGATGATGATTTAAGAGAAGTGATGAGGCTTTATAAGCTGAGATGGGGTTTTCCTGTATGTGCTGGCGCAATTGATGGAACTCATATTGCTATCCAAGCTCCCGCTGAAAATCATACTGATTACGTGAATAGGAAGAGCTACCACAGCATTGTCATGCAGGCAGTAGTGGACTCGCACTACCTATTTCGTTATATAGTTGTAGGTTGGCCAGACAGCGTTCACCACGCACGAGTTCTTTCCAACTCCCAACTCTACAACTTGGGTGTTCAAGAGAAGCTCTTCGAAAGAAATATGAACGACAAAATATGTGGTGTGGGTATCAGTCCTGTGTTACTTGGTGATCCAGCCTACCCTCTCTTGCAATGGCTTATGAAAGCTTATCCCGAAAACCCAAATACCTCCCTGTGGCAGCGTAATTTCAATTACAGGCTCAGTAGAGCACGTATGTCAGTTGAAAACACCTTCGGCAGATGGAAAGGACGTTTTCGAAGATTTCTTAAGCGTGTTGACATGGTTGTTGATTCAGCGACTTGCATCGTCGCTGCTTCTTGCATAATTCATAACATTTGTGAACTAAGAAGAGATGAGTTCCTACATGAATGGCTTGAAGATGTAAGAAGGGAGGCAAATAATCAGCCAGATGATCTTGTGCAACCATGGCCTGATCGCGAAAATGAAAAAGATGCATCTACTATTCGAGATACATTAGCAGAATTTTTTCAGACAGCGGATGGTAGAAACATTGGAATAGGAGGCGAATGAAAACGATGATTATATGAAACGTACGTAAAGTAAAAGCTGTACATATTCTGTTTCTCTTGTTGTTAACTAACTTAACTTACAGTATAAACTAACACAAAATGAAGTAAGTGCATGTATAATGCGTTACCAAGTGCTATGCATAGCTAAAAGAAAACTTTTGCGTTACCAAATACTTTTAACGGTATAAATACAATATCAAGTATATTACAACACTAATATAAATGTAACGGTTTCTGTATCTTATGTTTTATCAGTTAATATGAACAATTTAGTGTCTAACGAAGTGGTTATAAGAGTTATAATTTGAAATAGGTTTCGGTATTTTCATTGCTACCCTCATGTTGAGTGTACTGTACGACTGGATTTCCATACATGGCACTATTATTGAAACTAACTTCTCCCTGAGGTGGGCCGTAATTTCTATTATTGCACATCATTTGATATAATAGCATTTCATGCTGTCGCTCTTCACGCTGTCTTTCATTGTCAAGCTCCTTCATTCTAAGCTCGTGATCCAACATTTGTTTGTGGCGTCTTTCTTCAAGCTGTATCATCATCTCAGCCTCTCTTTTGGAAGCATTCGTAAAACTTTCGCTTAACAATTCGAATGACTTTTCCAGTTTGGTCTTCTTTACTTTCTTACTTTTGCAGATACTTTTATCTTCTTTATCTGATGCTTTCTCTTGTTTATCTGCTTGCCTTTCTTTCTCCTCAACATATCTAGAATCAAGATCATCATTTTTTTTCAGAAACTGCACATGCTTCTTCTTCATCAAGTTCATACTCCAATTCACAATCTTTGCTGCTGCTGGCATTTTCATTGACATCTTGAAATAAAAATGGCTAGATTATTTGATCAATTTAACATTCTGGCATGCCAATTTGCAGACCCAAACAAGATATTAACTCTTTACAACATCTGAAATATATATGCTTAATCCATACAGTATGTTGTGAGAAGTGAATAGTTTGCTGAAGATGTAAATGACTTTACATAAAAATGCTATTTAATTACAACATGCATAGCTGTTTGGGCCATCCCAAAGAATAATTACACCTGAAGGAAATTGGAATGTTTACTATGTTGCAATGAAGAAAATGTTTACTATTAGGAGAAGTGGATTCTCTCCTCACCCCATCCAGGTAGCATTGTATTGAATGAGGTTGTTTTATTGTATTTAATTAATAGGCAAACTAGTGAAAGATTCTATTGGTTCTCACTAGATTTAATATATATTGCTTTATGAAGAAAAATTGGAACATGTCAGACCTGTCAATTTTGAAGGAGTGAATATAGTGAGATATATTGTTTACCTTTCAAAAAATCATGAGAAAAATGCAAAAATAGTGAGACAGGCAAGAAAAATCATGAGAGCATGAGATTACAGCAAAACCATGAGACTTGACAAGTCTGACATGTGTACCTGATATATTGACATTGGTTAAATGTTTAATTCATTTGAATAATTAATCATTTATCAAGTTTGATTAAGTAAATGTAAATTACATACCAGTAACCTCACTGTCCATACTTGAATCAAAAAGGCATGCTGGTGAAGAAGTGTCTCTATGACCACATACTTCATCCATTGCATCAAAAAACTTCCACTTTTTTCTTCTTTCAGTTCCACTTTTCTTTTCCTTATCAAGATCTGTTCTGTATTGTTGTTTCAACTTTTTCCATTTGTTTATTACACTGTCTAATGATACCTTGATCCCTGGTAAATAAGCAATATTTCTAATGTAAATCAGTTACAGAAATTTGCTATCAAAGGGCGCTTGTTTTGGAGTCCGTTAAAGTCTACAAACCAAGACATACCCGTAACCCGTTGCTATTAAATGTCTTTAAAAATATATACATAATCATAAATCATTACCTTTCTTTTGAAGCTGTACATAAACTGCGGCGTAACAAGCCCTTTTCTCCTTCGGTGTTTTCGCGTTATCCAGATTGAACAGTATTGTTTCTTCGTTCATTATACTTATCAGGTTAAAAACATTTTCATCTTTCCACATTTGCCCCCTAGATTTGACCGGAGATTTTACAGTTTCTTGACTTTGTTCTTGTATTTCTGTTTCGTGACTTTCGCCCACATTTACATCTGCCATCTTGAATCTCAATTTTTTTCAAAACACGCATGCTTATAAACGTGGCGCTGTCAAACAAAATCGCAGGCATGATTTATTAAACGGCTTGGCTCTGCTAAACCCGTTTACATTGTGTTTTTTTTTATGCCGAGTCGCTTTTTCTGACGCGCGTACCTGTTTTATCCGTGCTGAGACTACCTCACGAGTAGACTACCTCACGAGTAGGTCTCAGCACAGGTGAAATTTTGGTTCGGTGCCATTCCAGACTTGGTCCGGTTAACTTCGGTGGAACTGTTTACACTACAAAAGTTATCCGAGCCGAACCTTTTTGACGGGTCTGCGAACCACTTTTACCCGAACCGTACCAAAAATTTTGTGTAGTGTAAATTGGCCTATAGTATTGTAAATTCGATAAAATATATGCTATTATGTGTGCTTCATCAAACGCTACTCCAACACAGTGATCACGAAAGTTGTCAGAACAATAAAATACATCTCCATGTTTTTTTACCAAGTAGACATTCTGGAGGCACGTATACCAAGGAATATAAGCCTTCTTGTACGTTTTTTATTAACGGACGCACACCCCACATTATCAGAATTAAGCGCAATAGAAGAAACACCAATTTCTTTCATGCGATTACACTGATCTTCCATCAGTGATATCAATGGAGAGATGACAATTAATGTAGAAAATCCAATTGTTTGTTCGTTTAAAATATCAAGCACCCATGGAAGTGATTGATTTACTGTAGACTTTCTGTAGCCCGTGGGTGCATTGAAGAATATGTTTTGCCCATTACAAAACGCTTTAATCAAACTCAGTTGGGGACCAGTCATTATTAATGCCGGGTAGGGGGCCGGAGGAAATTTGGAGGGGCCACCAAAAATTTTTGACCAGTGAAGGGGGGGGCTAGCAAAAATTTTGATGTAATCATCATCATCATCATCATCATCATCATCATCATCATCATCACCATCACAACAACTTGTTGAGTTGTCTGATTGGTCACGCACTTCATTTGCAAATGCAGATTCAATAGACAGTTGTTGTCCTGTTTTGCGCTTTTTAATAACTGTGGACCTCTTTGACATGTGCTGTTTGTCCATGTTGTTGGCAGTCTCTTCTGCCATTTCTTTGCTTTCACCAGACACAAATATATTTTTTTCAATTAGTAGAAGTAGGCCTGATTTGTGGAGTTTTGGTTGAAGGGCCAACAACTTTTAAGGTATAAAGTCTGAATTGTCTATGACAAAACTAAAGTCACCCTTGTTCACCTTGGCTATCATTTCCTGAGCATCATCTTTCAATCCAATTATTTCTTGAAGAACCTTACAACAGCTTCCCAATTTTCGTTTCTCCTTTCTCTTTGATGCCTTGCGCTTATTTTCTTTCATTCTTCTGTTAGAGCGACAGCTATCATGTTTGATGGCTTTACTTTCAGACACTCTTCGTTTTAAATAGCAGACATTTTGAAAAATGTCACCCTTTGTCTTCACCATCTTTGTTTCAATTGCTGATAATTCTTTAATTATGTTCTCTAAAAAGTGCAACTCATTGGCTTTCCGTGGTTTCACAGTATTTTCCTTACCAAATAAGTGCGATCGCTGTGATTTGCACTCAACAATGAATGAGTCTACCTCTTGTATCATTCCTGCCATGAATTCTACACATCTTTTTGCAGGTTCCAGGTCTTTTGAAGACAGCATCACTTGATCACCAACATACTTCCTAATATTCTGCCAATGTCCATCTTTAGATTCAGCCAACTTCATCTCATATAACCTAATATTTTCCATCCTTTGCTTGATTTTCCATCGTGACTCTCTCTGACCAGTAACATACAATATGAAAGCATCATGTGTCATCATCTCATAAGAATCATTAAACAGTTCATAGAGCAGTTCATTGTAAAATTTGTGTTTCTCCATGATTGGATTTGGTATCAATAGCCTTGATTCAATTGAGGCTGACACTACACAACAAACAGATATGGAAAGTACCGATTTTATATATTTATCAAATCACCAGAGCTGCAGTACGTAATTAAAAGAGAATATCTTCAAATCTTTTTGGTACTGTGCCTGATATGCATGTATTATGTAAACACTACGGAAAAAGCAACAGCCCATGGTAGAAGGCATGATTCAGTTATGTATCTTAATCACAGAGTAAAAAAAAAGATTTTCTACGAATTGTTAATTTCAGTCGTAAAGGTAGAGACCTGCCACCTATCAAGTCAGCAACAACAGCATATAACAGATCAAGACCAAAATCTAAAAGATCATTACAAGCCAAAAAGCATTGTGGTTTAGGACTGTTTTGCTGTAAAAAACCACCAAAGGCAGAGGAAAATTCAGGAATTTTAACACATTTTTGTAGAGCTCAAAAAAAGAATATCATAAGATCACTAAGTGACACAGAATGTTTTCCAAATCAAGCTTATACTCTCTATAGGAGCTTTGATGACAAGGCATACCTCTGTCCTGGCACTAGCACTGCAATGTCTGGGGTGAGCTCACAGAAGATCTATCAACCAGAAGACCCTAATTTATCAAAGAAGTTACCCAAGTACGATTTTCCAGAAAGCATGGTAAACTGCACGCCAGGGACTTTCTTATTTATGAGTAAAGAAACTCAAATGGTTGATAATGAGGAGTCAGTAAAGACATGTGATCAACAAACTGTTGTGGTAACAAAACCGAAGTTTTTGTTGGAAGCTCTGCAGTCTGGGCAAGCCACCTAATAAACATCAAGCACAGAGAACCGAGTTTGTATGAAGCTGAACTTCCTCCAGAGTGGCAAAGCAAGCCATTTAGATCTGCATTGAGTGCACTGCATGACAACTTGCACTATTTTTTATACCAATTTGATGAAAATGACCTGCAGCTTATTGATATAAAGGATTGCCAAAGTTGTCCATTTAAAACATATGAGTTGACGAAAGTGCAAACATTTGAAGCAAGAGTACATAATCACCAAACTAAATTGCAGGAAATCAGTGAAGAGCTGTGTGAATTGGAAGTTGCTGCTTTGAAAAGGACAGCATCAAAACTGAATCTACTTCAAGCATGCATTGTTAGCTATAAAGAAGGACTTAATGATGCACATCCTTGCAGTGCTAAAATGAAAAATTCAACGAATGACTGTCTGGAACTTTTGAAAGAAATCAAGCTCCCAAAGTTAAAGTCCAGGATTGTTGACCTTACTGATGCCGGACCTGGTGTTGGAATAACCAACCATGAGGTTAAATTCCGGGCTGTGGAAGAAGCAAGATTCATGAACTACGACTATTATATCCGCCATCATCTAGCACCTGGAGATAGCAGCCACAATGAAGTGGAGAGAATTCAGAGTTATGTAGGTAAGGTGGAGATATTGTCAACTTTCAGTTTTTAGTTTCATTACATAATTGACTATTCCCCCTCCTCCCCAATCCTCCTAACAAATTTGGTTGAAACAGTATCTATATCACTATATACTTCATTTATTGTTTTCAAAGGAGACGCTGTGTGCGATGGAGGTGCCCTAAATTAGGAGTATAAGAAAAAATCTGATATACTATCTGAATTGGATGTGTCCACAGTAACCACAAGAGAGCTTGAAGAGCTAGAAATGGAGAGAATGAAATTCAATGCATTCCAGGTACAGTATATGAAAGCAGATATTTCTTTAGATAGATAGATAGATAGAAACTTTATTTGAATTCGGATTTAAGTTAGCAAAAAGTATGCTAGTATCTCCAAATTATTGAAAAGTTATATACAAATAAAAATTAAAAAATAATATATATCTATAGTAATGACAATCTAAAACCAAATATATCTATAGTAATTTTTTCCTAATCAATGATTTGAAAGAGTTTAGGTTTATAGCTGTTCTTTCAGTGTCAGATAACTCATTCCAATACTTTGGTGCACAGTATCTAAAAGAATTTAAACCGTACTTAGTAGTTCTAACTTTAGGTATTTTTAATTTAAGTTCACCATGAAGAGATGTGTATGTTCTCTTCTGCAACAGTTCTTGTACTTAAGCAGGAGCTTCTTCATTTAAGGACTTGTAGACCAAGATAAGCATATCTTGAATGCGACGATGTTTAAGTGAAACAGTGTTACTTTTGTTTAACAGTGAATCGTAATCGCTAGTCTTATCGTTAAGGACATAACGTAAAGCACGCTTGTTAATTCTCTCTAGTTTTAGTTGATTCCGGGCACCACAATGATTCCATACAATGCTGCAATAGTTGAGATGCGAGAGTATGAAGGCATTGTAGATCTTCATTTTAGCATCACTTGATATTAAGTTCTTAAATCGATTTAGAACAGCAAGTTGAGAGCTAACCTTACGACAAAGATTAGATATATGTTTATCAAATTTTAGCTTATTATCTAAGTTAATACCAAGCAGATCGATGTTTTTCTCTACAGGGATAATGTAATTGTCTACTTCAAAATTATCATAATTAGATGAATTACCGAGTATCATTGCATGATATTTATCTGGGTTAGCTTTCATACCATTATTTGAAAACCAAGTATGTGCTTTGGTGAGCTCTTCATTAAGTGTATGTACCACTATAGAGGATCCTTACTTGAATGATAGAGTTGGGTATCGTCTGCGTAAGAATGTGGACTGGCTCTTTTAATGGTAAAAGAAGTCGTTTTATGAAGATGTTAAAGAGAATTGGTCCCAGTATTGATCCTTGTGGAACCCCGTTTATGATCTGTTCCCAATTTGAGTAACAATCATCAATCTTAACTCTTTGGTAACGATCAGACAAATATGATTTCATAAGTTGCAGACTTGCTTCATCAAAGCCATACGCTCGAAGTTTGGCAATTAATAAATCATGAGGCAAAGAATCAAACGCTTTACTTAAATCAAGCACGATAAGTCCAACAACTGAACCATTGTCCAGTTTATGTTTCCAATCCTCTATAAGGTGTAACAATGCAGTCTGACAGCTGTGATGTTTGCGAAAAGCGGAAAGATATTTGCTCATTCGATCTTTAAAATAGGCTGATAGCTGAGAGTTGAGACATTTCTCATAAATTTTGCCAACAACGGGTAGAATTGATATTGGGCGTATTTGATCTTTAGTATTTGCCTTTGAGTTTTTAGGAATAGGAGTGACATCTGCACATTTCATTGCAACAGGGAAACTGTTGTTTTTAATAAGATAATTTAACAGTCCCGATAAAGGTTTCACCAACACTGGAGCACCACACTTTAATATTTTGACTGGGACATTATCATGAGCTAGGGCCTTGGAGGGTTTAAGATCGTTAATAACTTTATTAACTTTGTTAGGACTGATGGTATTAAATTGGAATGTAGAATTGCTAAATGAATGTTCATATATAGCTTTCACACTTGGGTGTTGTCGTAAATCACGATGCAGAGCAGTCGATGTATTAAATCCTGCGGCAACATTAACAAAGTGCTGGTTCAAAATATTTGCAATTACAGTCTTATTGGTAACAACGGTATTATTCTCCTTAAGGTGGAAATCTGTACGGATATATGATTTTTTTGAATGTAGAAAGGGTTTAAATGTTGACCAAATGCCCATGGATTCTTAGTCCCCTCTTCAGCCTTATTCTTGAAATATTGTTTAATACAACGACGACGTAGCGTGACGGTTTGGTTTCTTTGAGTGCGATAATTTTCCCAGTCATCCGTTGATTTTGATTTAAGAAATTTTCTATGCAGGCGATTACGTGTCATAATTGATTTGCGGAGTTCCTTTGTCATAAATGGTACTTGATCACCACGAATAGTGCATTGTTTCAACGGGGCATGAAGTTCAATTACATTATTCAATAGCTTATTCCATGCCCAATTAACATCGTCAGGATCATCAAAAACTGCAGTGATATGAAAGGGAATTGCCACAAGGTCGTCACGAAATTTGTCTGCGTCAAAAGATTTATAGCTACTAAATATTTGATGATTTTTGGCTTTGGTCTTGCAAGCTTGGTCTTCATGACAGAATAAATAAGTTTATGATCGCTTAATTGAGTATTAATCGTTCCCGATGCCATAAAATTTTGAGGAAATGTTGTAAGCATGACATCAAGCAAAGTACTTGTCTTGTTTGTTATTCTGGTTGGTTCATTTATAATACAGTCCATGTCAAAAATATCACAAATATCTTTGAGCTCCATAGCATCGTAACCTATATTGTTATCTTGGTTCATTAGATCACAGTTTAGATCACCAACGAGTAATATGTTAGTAAAATCTATCGTAACGGCATCCAAAATTCTTTGAATTTCGGGCGACCAAACTGACTTACACAGACCAGGTGGTCTGTAGGCAGCGATTAACAGATATGACTTCTTGTCTAAGCTGATTTTGATAATAATGGTTTCTACTGATGTTGATTCAAGATGGACCAGACGGGTTGAAATAATGTTTGATCGCAAATAGACAACAAGGCCGCCCCCATGTTTGTTTCTGTCCTTTCGTATAACTTTGTAGCCGGGGATTGCAATTTGTGAGGTGGGAAAAGTAGCGTCAAGTTTAGTTTCACCAACAATAAATATATCAAAGCAGTTTGACGCTATAATTTCCTTAAGCTCGAACATTTTGAATCCACCCATACTATTGACATTTAAATGACCAAGTCGAAAGTTATTAGGATGAGTTTGCTTAATAACGTCTAGATGTTGATGTACGTTATAAGTTCCTGAGGTATACGTACTTTCAGATTGCTCCGCAGTTGAACATAAGTGGTCAGTATTTGATTCCACAAAATAAGAATCGTTAAACTTAGGAAAGGCGCACAATGTGCAAGACCATTCGCTCGGATTAGACATATAATATTCAGCAATCACCTTTGAGCTAGTGAGGCATTTCATGTGTGACCATTGTTGTCACGTTGCACAGGACAGCGCCTTCTGGTTTTTTCATATGGTCTTCTCGCAATCACTACAAACATGTTTGTTCAATTTTGATGTTGTTCTATTCGGTCCAGGATTCGTATGAATGTCTCCCGACAATACTAGTAGGCGATGCAATTGAAAGCAACTCATGCTGTTTGCATAATACGTTATTCGGCTAGCGAAGAATGACCTTCCAGATTGTTTGAAAGTGATATGTCGATTTGGGCTGCCGTAGATTGATTTAGCAGTCACAGATATTACTTTAACATACTCGCCTTGTTTAAGACAAAAGAAGGCGAGTAAGTATCCAAAAAAGATTGAGAATATACTGCATTTTACGCAGCTAGAAAATACACGTCCGAACGCCATGACTGTCAGACAAGCTATGTTATTAAGTATGCATATATGAAGAGGTTGAATTTGATTACCCTTTCCGCAAAGATAATTTTCATTAATGAATATCCTGTATGCCAAAGCAATTGCAACTATGCATTTCAGGTAGTGAAAGAAGTGTCAGACAGGATTGACTGTGCAGTGGCACCTGATGGTTTTATGAAGAGTTTTGTGAGCTGTGCAACAGATGAATCATTCTACTGGGATCAGCCATATCTGGCAGATTTCATTGAGAGGAAAAGCAACTCTATTGTTCCAGGTCACAACTACTTTTCAAAGGTTGAGAAATTTTTAAAGAATCATGCCCAAATAGGTGAGAAGTACTTTGAGATTGTGAAGTTTGCTTGTCAAAAACATAAAAACTCTGCATGTTCACACTGTCTTGTATCTGGTTGGGTTGATGCTGTTTGCCACCGCATACCGGAGCCAATTCCCGATTATACGTCAAATAAATTTAAGTACTTGCATGTCAAAGATACTCCTAGTGAGAAAGATGGCGCTCCGAGACCAGTGGATCAATTCAATCCAAGGGTCCAGTTAAAGAATTTGTTCCAACAAGGTGCAGTAAAGAACGAAGACCCTTCAACAATAACTAGTTTTTCAGAAAAGTACATTGTCCCTGAGACTATTGTGAAACTTGCTCTTGATGACCTGATTTTCAAAAATATGACTAAAGAGGTGAGAAAAAAAGAAAGTAGAATAAGAAGAGAAACAGAGAAGAAACAGGGTTTTGATGACATCAACTGGTTAGGCAAAGTTGAGGATGGAAGCATCAAGAATCTCCTTGTCGAAACTCTCAATAAATACTTTATCAAGTACAATATGAAGGAATGTTTGAAACTGCAAAAGGGAGCAAAGATTGAAGTGATTTCAAGACATGTGAGATCACAAGGTGTATGTGTAACAGGAGATAACATTGTGGACCAAGATGAAGAGATGTATGCTGATTCTGAGTTATCAGATGATGAAATGGACGAGGTAAAAACATTGCGAAAAATGCATCTCGGGTCCTCCAGCAGGAATCGAACCTACACTTGTGTGATATTATAGCGGATTAACTAACATCCCTTACGAAAATGTTTTATAGAATCCTATAGAATATGCTATAGCATATTCTAAATCCTATAGAATATTCTATAGAACTTCGTATCCTATAGCATATTCCATTGCCATATTCTATAGAATCTACAGATTCTATAGAATATTCTATAGGACTTCTTATCCTATAGCATTCACCATTGCCTATATTCTATAGAATCTACAGATCCTATAGAATATTCTATAGGACTTCTTATCCTATGGCATTTACCATTGCTTATATTCCATAGAATCTACAGATCCTATAGAATATTGAATTGTACATTAACATTAAATATCCAATAATATACTCTATAGAATATGCTGTACACAATATCCTATAGAATATTGATTAGTCGAGAAATGTGTTTTCATCTTACCAGAAACACAAAAGTTAAATAGCCCCATATTCATATTTTTTTAAGCACTTTACATTCTATTGAATATCCTATAGAATATTCTATATAGTTCCTTTATCTTCTGAATAAAATCTGTTGCATATTCGATATTAGAATATTCAATAGCAGCATAGTATCAAACTGCCAGCTGGATTTTTTTAGTAAAAAAATGGATAAAGAAGTTTTTCGAGCTGTGATTCCTTACAATTGTACTGAAACTTAGTTCTTTTTGAAAAGGGTTTTGAGAAAACATATGGCACAAACAAAAATGACTGTTTCGCCCAATGTCAGGGCTCATCAGCATGCCTAGGAAACACATACCACATGGTAACCTTGTGATCCGACATGGACAGTCCTTATGTAAGACTGTCAAGCAGACTGGTTTTTAGGCGCCAGCACACGCCTTCACACCTTTTCTCTAAAGCAAAAGGAGTTTGATTGGAGATGGGGACTATATGGGACATTTTATAGATGTGAAGATGCTCAGCTTTCACACCAATCCCAGTCAGTTCCAACCCTTTATTCCCATCCCTTATACCCTTTTTACAGCCTAAGTTCTATATAATCACAAACCTACTTTAGCTACTTTACTAATCATCACAGATACGGTAGGGCAGTGGGCAGAAATATGACTTGTTCTCTGCACTTAAACTTATGCATTTCCGCTCAATTTGTGAAGGATATAAAGCAATTATAGAATTAGTTTCTCGAACTTCTGTGAGAAAAGTACTACAGATGTTAAAATCCACATCTCTGTGCAACATTCTTTGACTAGCTTCCATTGGTTTTACCAGAACTATGCTGTATGAAGGGCACTGACAGTACTGGGAGTTAAGTATGGAACAATCGCAAGATGGCTTGATACTCAAGAGACCTAAGATTACTCCATAAGTAAAAGCAGAATGCTTAAACAGCACATTGTGGTTTGAGTGGCGTTTTGATCTAACATAGGTCACACTAGAATATATCTGGTGATTCTAAACAAATCTTTCGAAAACGTTTCCAACTTGATTATAAAGATATATGTTTAAAAGATCCTCTACAGCGAGTATTCTATGAGCATCCAAAGTAATTGATTTTGCAGAACCTAATGGGATTAATCCACTGGAATCATTGTGTGTAAACCTGGCCGTATCCATCAGCCTGACAAGAACATCCTTCACAGAAGAATCATCATCAACCCAACTATTTACTAGTGAAGCAGCTTTGTTTTTAAGCAAAAACGTCTGTGCGATTTGCTGTGGAACACTCTGTGTTCCTTGAAACATATTGACAAGTACATGATTGTGTGATTCAAAGGTAAATGCAGAAGTTGCCCACAATGGACCACATGCTTTAGCACATTGTGCCAGATGTGTCAAACAGTGTGCATTAAACTTGCAGCTGGAAATGCCATACAACTCCTCAAGTTTTATTACAAACTTTGTAAGGCAAATCTCAGAAAGGACAATTGACTCATCAGAGATAGAGTCGCCCAAAAGTGTGTAAATGCCATACACAAAAAGAAAGAAGTGGTTTAGGTAACAAGCAGGAAGAACTCCACGAAGTACAATTAAGCTATAGAAGAGAAATGCCCTCCATTCTGATGCTTTCCAGTAACATCTTTGAGAAAGACTACGAGGGCTTCTATGAACCTCACTTGGAGGACTAATAAACTGCAGACGTTCATCAACTAACTTGACCTTTTGGCCAATATAATAGTCTTCATTGTGATTGCTGCTGTTAACCCATAGGTCAACCATTTGCCGTACAACTCCTTGGCACACAGAATGCATGTAGTCTGCAACTGTACCCCTGACTGTGTCAAAAGTGGGCAAGAGATCAGCAAAACTCATTCCCTTCACACCTTTAATCGGAGCTTTAGGCGTAGCCTCTAGAGCATATGCAGCTTGGTTTTTGGCAGTATGTAAAACAACTGGTGTTCTGTGAGGATAGTATCTAACAGGAGGACCATTGTTTGTTGGAACAGTAACTCAATCAATCAATCAAAAAATTTAATCAAGATACCTACAAATTATTACAAGAGGTAGGTCCTTGCAGGAGGAATCGGAAGGTTAACCCTATTTTAGAACCCCCTTCAAACTCCTTCAAACTCACACCAATCACACCCATTCTCACCATTGAACTGTTTGGTATTACGTACCATTGCTCTAGCAGGAGGATCTGCAGATAAAAGCAAAGCAAATACCTTCCTTGGCAATACCTCATTACCAAAGAAAAAACCATCTGATTCAAGCTTTCTACATTCCTGAACGAATGGTTGCAAGAAGGTATTCATAACTGGTTTCCCACCAAACCAAAGCCCAAGCAAAATAATATTTTTAGCTCGTAAGTGTGGAGGGAGTTCATTTACAAAAGCTTGTAAAGGCCAGACTGAAGAATTAGAAGAGTGGAAAATAGGAATATCATCTGTATTCCATGTCAATGATAAGTTGTTTTGACCAAAGCCATGCTTAACTATAAGCTCCTTGTACAAAGCTGATGTAGTGATATCATTCACAGTCTTTGATTTCAAACTAACATCTAAGTTTCTATTGAAGAGATATGGGGATAGCTTACTATTTGACAACAAGGTTTTAATTTGTTGCTGGAGAGGAATATACATAAAATAATGACCTCCCTTTACACTGTCATCTTCATTGAATATGTTGCCACATGAACTGCAGTTTTCTATGTTTTTTTCTTTTCCCAGGTAAGACTTGCAGGAGGAGCAGTAGAAGTGTTTCTATAACAAAGGATAAAATTTGTTAAAGAATAGTTCTGTACATAATAATGCATTTAATCCAATGAACACAAGTGGCACTGGTACTGGCAGCAGCACAATGTTTTTCATTA